TATACTATCATCATCTATTAACAATAAAAATACAGTATTATATACAAAGAAACATAAAAAAAATTTAAATATGTGTGTATATGTGTCTATATGTGTGTGTTCACACCATTGGTCCCTCTGGTCTTGATTTTGCCTATGTTGAGATAGTTGCTCTGAATCAATTATTTTTTGGTTACATCCTTTCTCAAGTACTGTCCTCAGAGAACATTTATGGGAAGTCTTCTTTTTGAATCCTTGCATGTTGAAAATATTTTCCTTTTTCCCTGACAGCTGAATAATATTTTGTCTGGGTATAGCATTCTTGGATCATTTTTCTTAATAGTCTATACATTGTTCCACTGTTTTCTACATTCCAGAGTCATAGATGAGAATTCCTTAGCTAGTCTAAATCTCTTGCCTTTCTGAGTAACTTATTCTTTGTGTCTGAAACTTGTATAATTTAATTTTTTGTTTATTCTTGAAATTCAAGTACTTCCTGGATTCTCTTCCTGGGTTTAATGAGTCTTTTAATCTGCAGGCTTAAATCTTGCTTCAGCTCAGTGGTTAAAAAAAAATTCTTGTACTGTATTCCTTTAATTATAACAACTCCTTCATCTGGTTTTTCTTCTTCTTCTTTTTTTAAATAAAAATCCCTTCTGGAATTCCTGTTATTCTCATGGTAGGCTGCTGGATCTGCCCTCCAAGGCTCTTATTTCTTCCCTTACTATTTCTCTCTGTGTCTTTGCTGTGGGCAGTAGCATACTTCTTTTACTTGGAAAATTAGTGATCTTCCAGATCACTAATTTGATTTTCAAGAATGTGAGTGATTTTTTATTTCTTATGCAGAAATTTAAGGTTTAAAATTTAACATCATTGTTGCTAGTTAAGAAAAAAATTTGCATTCTTCTGATTTCTCATCTTTTTCACTATTGATGTTCTCTTTCATTTTTTTGTCACTTCTACATCCGTGAGGCCTGCCTCTTGTAGATGCTCCAGTGATCTTCTCCCTGGTGAACTAGTTCCCCTAAGTTAGGTGTTGTTTTTGTTTTGCCTGTTCATTGATTTATGTTCTTTTGAGGCTCATGTAGGTTCCTTTAGTCTTTTTGGCATTGGTAAATCTGCAGGCAGTACAGCAGTTGCTTGCCGGGCATTCTGGACGGCAGTGAACAAACCATACGTGGCCCCTTCTCCCTGGGTGGAAGCAGCACTCCTGTCCAGCTGGGGTGGGAGGTGGGGCAGGCAAACCCTTTGTTCTGCTACAGGTACCTTGTCTTTACTCACTGACAGCCTAGTGTCTTATACTTGCTCTCTCATAGAGATTTCTGGAGAACCTGTGGTCTCAGATGCACTTTCCCAATTTTGCGAATTCTGTTGCTTTTATACATCCATGTTACCTAAGAGTTGATTTAAAGAAACCCAAATAAAAAGGAACCTTGTAGTATCTCATTATTAGTCCTGATGGAAAATGGAGTTGCCAGAGGCATCTGCAACTGTAAAATTTTCTACCTCCTGGTCTTAGTCATCTTCCACTCCAAACATCCAACTTTCTGTGAGGATTGGCCCTTATTGGGGAAAAAATCTACCAGGAGTAGTTATGCCTTAAGGTGTTGAGCTGTTTCACTATTGCTCTGTTACAAACCATAACTAATGTTCAGTAGTTTAAGACAATAATCATAGGTAGCCTATTTAGGCTGTGTGCTGCCGGGCAGTTCTTCTGGTCTCAGGTGGACTTACTCACTTGGGTTTTGGCTGCTTGGGGTGTCTGATTAGGCTGCTCTTGGCAGTCATTGCTCCTTTCCACTGATCTCTTCTCTTCCTCCTGGGACCAAAGGGCTGTCCTAGGCAGGATCTTCTCATGCTGATGCCATGAGCAAAGAAACACAAAATGCCTCTAGAGGCCTAGACTAGAAACAGGCGTGCAGTTGCTTGGCCTCTTTTTTTTTGGCCTAATCCAGTCACATGCCAGAATATAGAGTCTTGAAGCAGGAAAGGAGGTCCCGCCCACAGTGGTGGGGAGGCGAGAAGAGGAGAAGGTAAAGCACTACAGATTACGTGGCAAAGGGTGTGTGTGCATATGTGGAGAGCCATAATCTGGGGGCCTTAAACTCAACCTCCCTTAGCTGTTAAGAATGACAGTGCAGTATTTCCAATCTCTAATATCATCTCCTAGGAGAGAGCTGTGAGTTTAGTTTGGAGGTAGTAAGGAAACTTTTGCAGCTGGATCATAAGGGTGATTTGGAGTTTGTCAAGTAGATAAGGATGAGTGAAAGGAGCTATAATCAGTTAAGACTTAAGGAGCAAAGGAGAGGCACAGAAATCTGTACATGAATGGGGCATTTTGGGAGTGAAGAGTTGTCCTACGTGGTTTGATCATTAGGAAGTTTCCTTCTACATCACCCTTTCCTCCATAGTGTTGCTCTTTCTATGGAGCTCTCAGAACTTCCAAGGAGCTGGAATTTCAAACATTGGGCCTGGAGGAGTTAGCCTGCTGTGTACTCTTCAGAACATGCTACCCAGATGGCTGCCTTCTCTATACCCCCTGAACAACTTGTCTTGCATAAAGCAGGTGAAGGATTTAGCACATACTGGTGTGTATTAAGTTTCTACTGGCACTGTCAGTCCTTTAAAATATCCATGACGTTTAGCTTAGCTCATCATGCTCTGCCATCTATGTGACATCTGAAAAAGAGTTCACTAGTAATAAATCATAAATTTGTTTGCTTTCAAAATTTAGACCTCATAAAATGTCGTCTCCTCTGTAGAGCCCATCTTGAAACTTCTTTTCCCTTTTCCTTTTACCAAGTCCAATCAGGCATTCCTGCTAAAGGTTCTCCTTTTTCTCTCTCCACTTGAGAACTTTTTGGCTATTTGTTAGTATGTGGTTTTAGGTATGACTGATCAGTTTCTCTGTCCTTAATTAAATTGTCAGCTTATACAAGAGCAGAGGATCAGGTCTTTTACATACCATTGTTTTCCCAGGGTCCAGCATAGTGCCAGGGTCATAGTAAATGAATACTAAATGTTTAATGAGTAAATGTGTGAACCCATGTGAATGGCTGCATGAGAGGCACCTACTTGGCTGTATGAGATACTTTTCTCTTTAAAACTGCATGAGCAACCTAGGTTTACCATTTACCTGTGGCATGGTGGACAAAGCATTTTGTAGTGCTTCCATTCAGTCAGTATTCATTGTGGCTTGACATGTGGCTGAATGTGGACTAGGTACTAGTGATACAGAGATAATTAGGACTGATTTTGCTGTGAAGGAGTTGCTGCTTGAGTGGGAGAGATAGAGAAGTGAATGGGCAAAGTTAGTTCCAATGGTAAGTAATTACCATATTTTTAGGACTGTTAAGATGCACTGGACCATAAAGACAAACCTAGGTTTTAGAGGAGGAAAATAGGGAAAAAATTTTGAAGCAAAAAATATAGTAAAATATTTAATAACCTGTGACCCCACTCCACCACTGCCTCCCCTGCCACAGTAAGCCAGGTAAGCTACATTCAGACTATAAGATGCACCCCCATTTTCCTCCCAAATTTGGGGGGAAAGTGTGTCTTATAGTCCAAAAAATGTGGTAGATAAAGATATCTTGGAACTTGAAGAAGATGCTTTGTACTCAGCTTGCCTTCCATGAGTCTTCAGGCAAAGGGAATGCAAGTGGAGTCATAAATTCTAACTAGGAGTTAGATGCATAACAGGGAAGAACATTATGGAAAGAATGCAGTGAAGAACTCAGTGCACAGGAAAGCCTGAATTCAAGGCCCACTGTGGGAAGCTTTAAGTACTTTGGTAATACAGAAGGGAGCAGGCAAGGGTGAGAATGGCCAGAAGAAACTGGAAGCCATCAAGGTCATATCACAAAGGGCCTTTTAAGCCCTATGAAGAGTTGGGCTTTTTCCTGAATATAGTAAGGAACAGTGAAAGGGTTTTAATCAGGGGTTGATAGCATCAGGTTTTATTTTATGAAGTTTGAGCACAACATGGAGAACATATTGGAAGTCAGTGGGACTATAGGGAAGATAAATAATGAAGCAGTTAATTAAACAGTGTGGTAAGAGCTATGATAGAGGATACCTACCTGGGAGCTCAGAGAAGGAGACCCACCCAGAACTGGGGACTCAGCCTAGGCAAAGGAGGTGTTTGAGTTACCAGGGTGAAGAAGCTGCTCTAAATAGGAGTATGGAAGGGGCATAAAATTGTGCATGAATGTGATTTTTTTTTTCAGAGAACTGCAAACAATACTTTATTGCCTGCATGTAGAAAATTAAAGGTGAATGGAAGGGAAATGAAGCTGGAGAGGAAAACACCTTCCAGCAGTCAAGTCTTCCTCCTATTAAATACCACTTTAGAGTGATGAATATAAATATATATAAATATATGTACACACACACACATATATATATACATACTCACACACCAGGCACTTTTTAAAACTTTTTTGTTATAGAGAATGTTGAAGATGAATCAAACAGAATAGCATGACAAATACCATTTGCCTATCACTCAGCCCCACAGCCACCACCTCATGGCTGATTCTGTTCCATTCACTTCCCCTTCTCTTATGATTTTGAAGCAAATCCCAGATATTATATCATTTTATGCATGAGTAGTCCAGCCTGTATCTCTAACTGATAAGAAGCCTGTTTTGAAATATAATGGCAATGACCAATATTATAGCTGAACTTTAATAATGCTCAATATCATCAAATAGCTAATCAGTGTTGTAATTTCTAATTATCTCACAAGTGTTGGGTATGTATAAATAAACATACACACGTTTATATACACTGTTCAATCAAGATATAAATAAAGAGCTGAGACTCTTTGAAAGTGAAAGAAAAGTACCCATTAACAGGTGTCAATGGACTTTTTGATCTAAACAGGTATGTGTAATTACCTAGTTTGGTTTATTCTACTTCTTTAATGCTACTGAAGTGATCGGGACAGGTATTTGGTAAATATAAAAGAAGTCTCGCTCACTCATATTATTGGTTCCACCTCTCTCCCATTTTCTTAGGTCTCTCTGCTCCCTGGTGTGCAAATGGACATACTCAGCAGAGAAAGGCTGGGACAACAGTTTCTGGAAGATGATTGGTTTGGAAGACTTGGTTGCAGATAATTACAGCAAAATAGGTAAAAAATAGAAAATCTGGAGAGTGATTATGTCTATGTATGTGTGAGGATATTGATGTTTTTGTTTAGTATGAATTAAAATATAGGAACATAGCCCTGTTTTAACAAGAGAAATGAGTTCAGATGGGTAGGCAATGGTTAGCAGGCCCTTACAGTGAAGCTTATAGGATCTGAGTGGAAATATGAAACTCTGCATTGAAGTATAGAATCTCAGACATTGGCCAAGACCAATGAAGATATTTGCTTAGAGCAGGTGGGAATAGCATAAACAAGGGCTGAGGGGGGATGTGTATGGGTTGGGTCCAGTCATTACAAGTAAAATGTTTTGTGAGTTAGGTTCAAGGAATCAGGCAAGGTCATGAACAGAAAAAAATAACTGAAGAGGTCAAAATGAGAAACATCAAGAATAAGACAGAAACTGGAACATGAGCCAGTGGTTGCTGACTAAGGCTCTCGGGTTTCAGACTTCCAGCTTTTTTCTGGCACTGACTGGATAAGTAAAGGTGCAGGTGACTAGTGGGGGTTACCTGGTGAAAAGAATTCAGATACAAGGTCCATGTAACAATAGCTGACATTTTAAAGTTTAAGGCTTGCATGCTCATTTCACAGAAAGATGTTTATTTCCTGTAGTTACTGTTTACAGTTCCAGTAAGCTGTCATCAGGTAAGCAATTACACCTGATTCAATAGAAATACTTCTGTATTGTTTAGTGCTTTGGCCAGAAGGTTGTAAAAATAAAACTTAAAAGTGCAGTGGATTCAACAAGATAGAAGGTTATTTCCTTTTTATGTGATAGAATAGAGATAAGTGACTCTCAGGGCAGGTCTGCTATTCTCACAACACAGCCTCCAACTTTGGGTCCAAGATAGCTGCTACTCTGGTTCTCATCAGTTCCCAGCCTGTGAGGTGGAAGAATAAAAAGAACCAGAGAAATCCATTCACATTCTCTTGGAGGGAGCATAATGTGGAAATGGGCCATGCCATTTCTGATCACATAAGCCTCCACTAGGCTGCAAGGGTGGCTGGGAAAGGTAGACATTGGCTAGACAGCCATGTGTCCATTCATGTGACCAACTAAGACTTGAGAGTTTAGCTTTATATATTGTTTGTCTGCTAGTAGTATCTGCTATAGGTTTGAACCACCCTTGATTACTGAATCACACAGTAGGTTATTTTAGTTCAACCTTTCTGCGGTGGAGTTCTCATGACATCTATGTTGAAGTTCAAGAATATAAAGATAGAGACATGAAGGATCCAAGTAGCACCTGTATTGCTGTGTTTTAGACAACATAACTTGGTTTCTGTGGTCTGTTTAACTACTAATAGATAAGTCTGGGGAAAGAATGAAGCCAGGGTAGTCTGCAGAAAGAGCCCCTTTTGAACTTTTGTGGCTCAGTTGAAACCATCTCAGGATCTGAGCTGGTAGAGAAGAGGGAAGAGCTAGGAGGTAGTGGGAGAGGGGAGGAGGCAAAGCAGCCCTAATTAGTCATCGTTGCTTTCCAAGTCTTTTAGCAGGTGATTTATTTTATATATTTTTAAAATCTTGTTTGGCCCTCACAAAACCTATTTGTATGTTATTTCCATTTTTCAGATGGGAAAACTGGGATTTAGTTCCATGTCTACTATTAAGTTGTAGACTCAGTATTAGAAACTGGGTCTCTGACTCGACACTTTTCTGCCAAAGCACACTGTCTCCTTGGAATATACGAGATCGAGTGAACTGATGCAGCTATTCAGTTGGCCTCCAGTGGGATTACGCAGCAGTTCAATATTTAACACCCAAAGCCAACCTCAGCTACACTGGAATAAGTGCAAATATAGTTACATTACGTATTGACTTGAACATATGAATTTCGGGGAACACAGCTCATGGGTCATTAGAGCTAAGGCATGGTCACTAAGTCCTCAGTCCCCAGTCTGGTGTTTTCGAGGCTACCCATGAGTTCCCTGCCTTGGTGAAGAACAGTCAGGACTAAGTGTCAAGGGAGAAGATCTCATCCTGTAATTAAGGGGTGCAGGCAAATTAGATCTTAAACACTGGACTAGGAGCTAGGGTAGTTGTAATTCTAGCTCTGTGTGTTTTTAAGTATATTTTAGCTTTTGATGCTTTTCCTCCCTTCACACAAGATTAATGTTATTTTAATTTTTGTATTATTAAACATTTTTATTGAGGTATAATTGGTATACAACATTCCACTCGTTTCAGGTGACATTTGTTTACATTGGGAAATGATCACTACATCATCAGTCACTATAAAAAGGTACAAATTAGCCCTGGCCAAAGGGCTTCAGTTGGTTGGAGCATTGCCCAATGTGCCAAGGTTGTGGGTATGGTCTCTGGGCAAGGCACATGCAAGAATCAACCAATAGATGTATAAATAAGTGGAACAAGAAATCGATGTTTCTTTCTCTCTCTCATCAATAAATAAATCAAAATTGTTTGAAGTTACAAATTAATGTTTTTTTCTTATGATGAGAATTTTACTCACTACCATGACAACCTTCAAATATGCACCACAATACCATTAATTAGAGTCATGTTGCACATAGCATCCCCATGGACTACTCATTTCACACTGGAGGTCAGTACCTCCCCGCTCCCCCTGACAACTCCCTTTGACAACCACCACTCTGTTCTTAGTATCTATGAGTTTCACTTTGGGTATTTGTTTTGCTTTGACTTTTAGATTTCACGTGTTAGTAAGATTGTATGATATTTATCTACCTCTGTATGACTTAATTTCACTAAGCATAATACCCTTCAGATTCATCTATGCTGTCACAAATGGAATGATTTTATTCTTTTTTAAGGTTGAGTAGTATTTCATATATCAATATGCTTCATCTCTATCCATTCATTCATTCACTGATGGACACCTAAGTTGTTTCCATATCTTGGCTATTGTAAATGATGCTGCAGTGAACATAGGGGTAAATACCTTTTTGAATTAGTGTTTAGTTTTCTTTGGATAAATATCCAGAAATGGAATGGCTGAATCTTATGGTAGTTCTATGTTTAATTTTCTGAGGAGCCTCCATACTCTTTTCCATAGTGGCTGAGCCAATTTACATTCCCACCCCCAGTGCAGGAGGGTTCTCTTTTCTCCTTGTCCTCTCCAAGACTTGTTATCCCTTGTCTTTTTAATAACTGCTATTCTAACAGATATGAAGTGATATCTCACTGTGGTTTTGATTTGCATTTCCATGATAATTAGTGATGTTCACCATCTTTTCATGTGCCCGTTAGCCATCTGTAGGTTTTCTTTGGAAAAATGTCTATTCAGATCTTTTGCCTTTTTTTTTTTGCTAGTGAGCTGTGAGTTCTTTATATATTTTAGATATTAACTCCTTATTGAATATGCTGTGCAGATGTTTTCTTCTATCTATTGGTTGCCTTTTAATTTTGGCAATGGTTTCCTTTGCTTTGCAGAAGCTTTTTAGTTTGATTAGTATATTAGCTCTGCTAATAGAGCAATATCTACAGGAAATATTCATTAAAAGTCCATAATGTTAATTTAGCAGAAAATTTCCAGAGTAACTTTATTAGATTTTGTCTGTTAAGTTAATGGATTTTTAATGGCTGTCCTAGGGAGACATATCATTAACCAGCATATTGCCATACATGAATTAAAACTTACCCATTCGTCAAAATTAATTATGTGATGTTTCTGTTGATTTTCATTTCTGGTGACTTGAACTTGGAGTTTCAGTCTGAACCAAAAGTGGAAGATGCTAAGGAGGATGTTAACTGTAAGTTGTGACTTTCAGAGACTCCTCTGAAAGCTACCTTCAGATATTCTTTAGCAATTCTTGGAGCTATAAAAAAATGAATCTTGGAAGCCTCTCTATGAAGTGTTAAACATTTCCAGTGGACTCATTGCCCGTCAAGATGTGGGCAATGTAGTGCAAAACCTTTTAGCAGATTTGAGCAGAGCGTCATGGATTTGAGCATTAATACAATTACCATAATTTGCTCCATGTGGAGCTTTTAGCCAAGTCTTTACCAGCCTTCCTGGACTCATGCAGTAAATAAATGCTTTCCCCGAAAACCGAACACCTCAGCAACTGATGGTCTTATGGAGGGATATTTTTGAAATAAATTATTTATACAGTGTAAGTTAAGGATCAAATGCAATATTTATATGGTGCAGTTCAAGGACAGTGGAAGAATTTTTCATTGTTTTAAGTAACTGCATGCAAGTTTTCGAAACTAAATGTTACTACCTAATGCCTGTCTTTAAGGAGATATTTGGATGATGTGGTTTGGGAACATTGTAAAAATAAGGAAACAAACATTTTTTGAATCAAAGTAATATAGTTAAAACTATCCAAGTTGATTTAATGTTCAAGAATAATGAAGAAAACATAAACCCAGTGTTTTGTAGGGAATTATATATCCATAGTCCAATAAAATAGTTTGTATCAATAAATTTTGACCTTCAGTTCCATATGACTAATTCCCAGGTTACCTATCTAATCCTAAACATCTATCAAAAGCATACAGGAAGGAAGAGATCAGCAGGGAGAAAGGACCCTTAAGAAGACAAGCAACATCCCACCTGTTCTAATCGATTATCCAGGCTCACTTTCAGCATGCCATGGTTGCCTTTTTACTTCCTGGGAAAAGCACTTTAGTGTTTTATTGGGGTAGACCTCTTTGTGAAAACTCATGTGTACAATGTGGCTGAATTATAGAGTGATTATTGGCAGTACAGGAAGAGCTTTGTTATATAAAAGGGTTCAATGTGTTAGCTTATAGCTCATTCATTATTTGGGGTCAGGGAAGCCAGGCAAAGAAGAAACTTAAAGCCCAGGTAGACGGAGTTAGTAATTGTTAAGTGAGAGGCAGAAATGAAGATAAAGTATATGTGAAGGAAGGCAGTTCCTTAAGGGGAGGGAGGCTACATTTTTTTAATAGGTTTTCTCTCCCTCCCTCTATGAGACTGCATTTTTGACATCAGACACTGTGGGTACTGTCATCTGGCACAGAGTAGATGCTG